AGGTCAGTTAGGATCACCACTTTATTTTAAGAATGTGAAATGTCAGAATAATAGTAGAGAGAATGATTTATTTAAGCTTTTATTTCTTTCATCACATTCCCAGTTTGTCAGAAGTTTACATACACTCAATTAGTATTTGGTAGCATTGCCTTTAAATTGTTTAACTTGGGTCAAACGTTTCGGGTAGCCTTCCACAACCTTCCCACAATAAGTTGGGTGAATCTTGGCCCATTCCTTCTGACAGAGCTGGTGTAACTGAGTCAGGTTTGCAGGCCTCCTTGCTCGCACACGCTTTTTCAGTTCTGCCCACATATTTTCTATAGGATTGAGGTCAGGGCTTTGTGATGGCCACTCCAATACCTTGACTTTGTTGTCCTTAAGCCATTTTACCACAACTTTGGAAGTATGCTTGGGGTCATTGTCCATTTGGAAGACCCATTTGCGACCAAGCTTTAACTTCCTGACTGATGTCTTGAGATGTTGCTTCAAAATATCCACATAATTTTCCTTCCTCATGATGCCATCTATTTTGTGAAGTGCACCAGTCCCTCCTGCAGCAAAGCACCCCCACAGCATGATGCTGCCACCCCCGTGCTTCACGGTTGGGATGGTGTTCTTCGGCTTGCAAGCCTTCCCCTTTTTCCTCCAAACATAACGATGGTCATTATGGCCAAAAAGTTATATTTTTGTTTCATCAGACCAGAGGACATTTCTCCAAAATGTAAGAGCTTTGTACCCATGTGCAGTTGCAAACCGTAGTCTGGCTTTTTTATGGCGGTTTTGGAGCAGTGGCTTCTTCCTTGCTGAGTGGCCTTTCAGTTTATGTCGATATAGGACTCGTTTTACTGTGGATATAGATATTTTGTACCTGTGTCGTCCAGCATCTTCACAAAGTCCTTTGCTGTTGTTCTGGGATTGATTTGCACTTCAGTGCGTTCATCTCTAGGAGACAGAACTTGTTTCCTTCCTGAGCTGTATGACGGCTGCGTGGTCCCATGGTGTTTATACTTGCGTACTATTGTTTGTACAGATGAACATGGTACCTTCAGGTGTTTGGAAATGGCTCCCAAGGATGAACCAGACTTGTGAAGGTCTACAATTGTTTATCTGAGATCTAGGCTGATTTCTTTTGATTTTCCCATGATGTCAAGCAAAGAGGCACTGAGTTTGAAGGTAGGCCTTGAAATACATCCACATGTAGACCTCCAATTGACTCAAATTATGTCAATTAGCCTATCAGAAGCTTCTAAAGCCATGACATCATTTTCTGGAATTTTCCAAGCTGTTTAAAGGCACAGTCAATTTATGTGTATGTAAACTTCTGACCCACTGGAATTGTGATACATTGAAATAATCTGTCTGTAAACAATTGTTGGAAGAATTACTTGACATGCTCAAAGTCAAAAACTATAGTTTGTTAACAAGAAATTTGTGGAGTGGTTGAAAAACTAGTTTTAATGACTCCAACCTAAGTGTATGTAAACTTCCAACTTCAACTGTATATGCGCACACACACACACACACACACACACACAGAGGCAACACCGCATCATGTTTATTTATGGCGTACTGCTGCCAGTTTCAAAATAATACAGATAATCTAGTCCTCACACTAGATTATGTGGAACATTAGGCTATAAACAGTTCCTTATTTGACCTGAAACCATCGGTTGCTTTCTCTAACACTGTTAGCACTTTTCGAGTGGAAAGCTTTCAGGGGTTAGGTGGCGACTCGTGTCTTTATCAGGGTGGTTGACATTAGAGGAATTAAACAGTCTCACTTTTTTTAAATTATGTTTTGCGTTGGTGGATCAGGATGTCAGTCGAAGTCTGTGTGTGCGTGCGCTCGACCGCACGTGTGTGTGCGCGTAAGTCTGCTGTCACTGCTGTTTCCTGACAGAGATCCGGTGAGAAGCCAGTTCCGGAAAGTTACATATAAAATGTGATGACTGGGATGAAAGGGGAACCCAGTGTGGCTGCAATGTGTTTATTTTCTCTGTAGAAGCGTCGATATGACTACTGTGGCGTGCTTGTGTTGCTGCACAGTGGGTGCAGGGGGTCCTAGTTCACAGACAGACACAGACAGACCGACGGCTACATTGTATCGCATTGAGAGCAGGCCTACCACCAGGCTTACAAGATGTCAAGCCCCCTCTCCCCGATTGTCCTGTAGGCATAATGTGTGTAGTGCCCCAGCCACTGTCATTTAGTCCAGCAGACCGTCCGTCCGCCAGCAATTGGCTTCAAGTGGGTCGCGGCTTTAACTTTCTCGCCTTCTATCGCAGAAAACAGGAAACTGGAAGGGAGCAGCCAGCTGCAGGTCAAAGGTCCTTATAGGAGGAGGGGGTCGCCATGAGCGTCGTATCCAGGGATTTCTTGGCCCATCGCCACGGTAACGCCGAGGATCTAGGCTCTGTTGTCGAGGCAGCAGTGGATTAAGGGGGGAATATGTATCTGCGGGTTAACTAGCGCATGCAGACTAAGAAAAGGTCTCCGTCCCAAATAGCACCCTATTCCCTATTTAGTGCACTATTGGCCTGAGCCCCATTGGCGCTGGTCAAACTAACTTTTGTTCGGTGCTGTTGTTGTCTGTGAACACTAGTTTTGTGTTAAAGCAGATGACACACACAGACAGAGGAGTAGAGTAGAGGACCAGCCTATATGCACTTGTGGGAATCTGCGAGGATATGCTAAGCCTAAACATTGTGTTAATAGCGCCACCTTGCCCTCTGATAGGATAGGAATAGCTAAGCAGTGTGTCGACTCCACCGTCCACTAGCCTGGACTCTGTAGCAAACAATAATAATAATATGCCATTTAGCAGACGCTTTTATCCAAAGCGACTTACAGTCATGCGTACATACATTTTTATTTTTTTGTATGGGTGGTCCCGGTGATCGAACCCACTACCTTGGCGTTACAAGCGCCGTGCTCTACCAGCTGAGCTACAGAGGACCACAACATACAGGAGATGCATTTTAAGAGTTAGGGCCCCCTGCCTCTCTTGGCTTAGCATTGGAGCCATGCTCAGCTGCACAGAGAAATACAGAGCAAACGTCCTTCCCTAGTCAGATATGAGGAAACACAACAACATACACGCTGGCAGGCACACTGTAAACTCATAAGCTACAGCATCACTCTCAGGATTGGCAGTGTAACTCATTGTCTTGTAGAAGGGTGACGCACACAGACTAGTCTCTCTCACATATGGCATACCCTGTGCCAGTGACGCGCCACAGCTGTGCTTCACTGAGGGCACTTTACCACAGAGCAGTGCCCTCACACTAGTGTCATCAAGAACCAGGCTTCCCTAAAATTGGAATCCAGGGGAAGTTCATGGCAGAAAAATAGCTAAATGAGGTAGACACCCGGTGTAAATCAGTGACGCCGCGCAACACATCAAACCAATCAAACGCCTTGCTTGGGCGGAACTCCAATAGTGCTCACTAGATTAGTGTCGTAGGTGCAACAGTGCGTGAGGATGGCCGGGAAATCGCCGATTTTTAAAACCCCATCGATATGTCAATTTTGTGTATAGAGCACACTTCTGGCAAAACAGAATTACGTTTTTCCTCCAGGTTTTCTTCCATTTTCTGCAATGTTGCAAACTAGCATACGGAACAACTCTGCAAAATGTGTCCTTCCCGGTCTGAAAACGGTGACGAATATAACACGTAGCACCAACGGGTATGTGGGGGAGGGTTCTTGAAATGTAGCATCCAATTAAAACCTTACAGACCATTCAAACAATTTTTGTAATTCAAAATTCTCCAGACCTCTAAGGGAGGCGTGACGGCGACGTGATTTTGGCGGTATGACAACACAAGACTACCCTCACAAACGGCTAATTGTGTGCGCACGAATGTGCTTATGTGTGTGTGAAGGTGACTCCAATTTACACTTTCTGTTTGCCATCACTGCCCACTCAGTTAGCTAGGGGCAGTAATGCCAACCTCACCCACAGTACTACCCCTTCTAGAAATGTGGGCATACTTTTCCAGCGCAAAATACATCTCTGAGATAAATGGTCCTCTGTAGCTCAGCTGGTAGAGCACGGCGCTTGTAACGCCAAGGTAGTGGGTTCGATCCCCGGGACCACCCATACACAAAAAAAAATGTATGCACGCACGACTGTAAGTCGCTTTGGATAAAAGCGTCTGCTAAATGGCATATTAATTAATTGTGACGAGGGAAACGACACAGGACTGATTTCCAGCGGGGCAGATAGGTTTCTACTACTATAGAATGCCTCGCCTCACTCACTTTAAGGCTTAGCTGGAAAGCCATTCACAAAAAAAAGAGGATCAATTATTTCTGCAGTTGAGTGTAAAAAATGTCCCCACAGGCACACACACACGCTCACACAATTTGGCAGGGTGTCTGTATCCTCTGTCTTTTTGAGCTCATTATAAGTCTCTGTCCTCTCCTCTCTCTCCCCTTCCCCACCCTTCCTCTGTGCTGGCATTGTGGAGAGAGAGAGAGAGAGAGCGGGAGAGAGGAGAGGGAGAATCTGGTTGGAGGCAACTGCGACGGCACTGCCGCCACACTCTCGCGCTCTCTTGTGCATATCAATTTCCCCGGCCCCCCCCAAGAGCCTCGCACAATCCCTCACTGTGCTATCCCGTAAATCACACGCTTTCTTTTCCACTGCACACCCAGGGCCCAGGCTAGCGTGTGTAGTGTGATGGAGGTCTGGTCCGTCCTGGCGCGCTCGCTCTCTCAGCTTCCACCATGGAGCTCAGCCCCTGGCCTCTATCTATGTTTTGGTGTGGAAATTACAAAGTCATGTTAACATGACATATTAGCTATCGGTGGCTAAAGTTAGCTGAAATTTGTAGTGGCTGTTTAAAGAAAACCGAACCATGGATTAGTTTCTCCTGGTTCATAAGACTACTTTCAGGGTGAGGAACCATCTAACATCAAGTTCTATAATACTTTCTCTCTCTCTGTTCCTCTTCTGTAGACGGAACCTGACCAAGTTGTCTCTGATCTTCAGTCACATGCTGGCCGAGCTCAAAGCCATCTTCCCCAATGGCCTGTTCCAGGGGGATAACTTCAGAATCACCAAGGCTGATGCCGCCGAGTTCTGGAGAAGATCGTTTGGGGACAAGTGAGTCCACCTCTGCTCTCTACAAAAAGTAGACATTTACTGCACGCTAGCCAGTCATAGTGGAAGTATTTACATCTAAGTGGTTAGATTGGATATATTGATGCACCACATGATGGAAACAGGAAGAAAGAAATGCCTTTTCAAGCTACGTGAGGTAGCCTAGGTAAGCAGATAGAAAGTAGTTAATTGAGTCTCTTTTTATTAGTCACATTTTTGTCAATCACCATAAACACCCAGAACCAGGAAAAGCAACTGGCAAAATTAAGCCCACAAGATTTCATATGGCCTGACGAAAATGTCTCCATAAAAATAACAAAATCATCCCGTGGCATAATGTCGCTGCTGACCCCTGCCCTAAACACTATTGTTGCACTGTAGCGAATAACATGTTTGGAACGTCCATATTCAGGGTAGAATCAGAAGTGGGATCGGACATCGTAAGTGCAATAACAGGGAAGGTTTAATACAATACATCAATGTTGCTTGTTCTACTCGATGGGTATAGTAAGCATGTTGTCCTGATGTGTTTTCAGGACTATAGTGCCTTGGAAGGTGTTCCGGCAGGCACTGCACGAGTTCCACCCAATCAGCTCGGGCCTGGAAGCCATGGCCCTCAAGTCCACCATCGACCTCGCCTGCAACGACTACATCTCAGTCTTCGAGTTTGACATCTTCACCAGGCTCTTCCAGGTTGGGCCTACACTCACACGCACATGCACACTCACACACACACACACACACACGGACGCATTCAAACACACACGTACATGCGCATGGACACACAAAAACACGCACACAAGTGCATGGATGCACACACACTCGCATGCATGGTCGCATGCACTCAAACACACACACACACACACTCTCACACACAGCCCCCCTCGTACTACACACCACTGCACCAATGTACACAATTTCTCTTGAGAGATGAGTTGAGAAAAGAGTCTAACAATGGCCATTATTATGAGTGTCTGTATTTGTGTTGTGTATCCCAGGTATAGTCCTCCATAGTTCCACCACACATCGTTGTACCATCACTAACTCCTATCTACAGTTTAAAAGTCGGGGGTAATGGGCCAAACAATGGTCATTATTGTAGCCAATAGCCTCTCACCATAGCCGCACTTTCTAATTACACACGAGTTTGGCAAAGTGAGACTATTGTGGCCATGTGTGTTTCTCTGCTATGTGGAATTGTGTGGCAGTGCCTGCTGAGAGAGAGGGGGCCAGTGTTTTGAGTTGAGTTGCTGCGTTGCGTGTCTCCAGGCTGAATAGAGGCCTCTTGCTGCCCCTTGTTGTTGGCATAATGCAGTCTCCAACTCTTAAAGAACCTATGCACTTTACAGCAGTGGTTCTCAACTGGTTTTGCTTCAGGACCCAAATTGAACCAGGTTGTCTTAGTCGCAATCCAATATTCGCATCGTGATTTTATTTATTTTTGCCAAAATGCAATCTGGAAAGCTATATTTAATTCTATATTGATAGTAAATGTGCCAGTTTTATGACAAGGGAACAACACTCACCTTTTTCATTGTCAATAGTTCAATTTTGCCCATATTCTGGTTTGAGACTCCAAAATCAACCAAATCCACTAAATAAATAACTCTAAATTGAAAATACTATGATTGAAGAAAAGTAGTTGAGGTTAAAGTAGTTGAGGTTAAAACATTATTATTTCTACACATTTTCTTTCTGGTTTTAGTCATTTAAGTTCAGACTGCAGTATAAACCTTTTTTTAAAACACTCACGACCCATTCAAAACATGCGTCGCGACCCACCAGTTGAGAATCACTGCTTTCCAGGGAGTCGGGACTGGATGAAATTGGTAAATGCCTAGGAGAGGAGTGGCTTTTTTGGGCTAACTCTATCAAGTATTTAAGTGGCCACTGTACAGAGAACAGAGGGCGCTTACTGGGCCATTCTTTCACTGCTGGTTAGCTGTGAGGAACAAACTGTACTACAACATACCCGTCCTGTCACAAAGGACCTCGGAATCTGACTAGTCCATTGGAAATATGGAAATATTTTTGCAATTTTGATCCATATGTGACAAATTTCTAATCTAGTTGCATTGAAACAAGTTCTAGTGCCGGTTTCCCGGAACACAGATTAAGCCCGGTCTAGGACTCATGTAGTTTCAATGGAGATTAATCTGTGTCCGGGAAACCAGCCGCTGCTCTTCTTCACACACGTCATGTTTAGTGCTGCTGTGCGTGTTTTTCCCCGGAAGTAATTGTCTCATTATAGGGAGCTCTATGATGCATGAAGCACTGGGCTGTATTCATTAGGGCACACACCGGAAAATATCGTAAAACATTTTGCGATGGAAAATGGAAATTAGTGTTTCTTATTTGGACAAGTGCAAGTAGTTGTTCCTTGTTTCAGTCCATTTTCTTCTGTTTGGTGCCTAATGAATATGACCCACACCACTTACATGCCAATTTCAAAACCTAAAAGCTAAGGTTTATATAAATGCTTCCCTTTTAGTCATCTGTTTATTTTGTTGTTACTAAGGGACGACTAATATTTGTTTCCTGAGGGGAAGTGTACTTCAGTCTGATTTGATGTTTTTTTGTTATTTCATTAGGCCCTAGCTAGCTCCCTGACTTGTGTGATAGTGAGTGGAATGGATGCAGTGCGACCTAGGTGGCTATCTGTCTGCGAGTCGTGCTGAACAGCTGAATACAGACTCATTATTTGGGTTTTGGAAGCGCCCTAGAAATAGCCGTGGTGTGTTTGCCGAGAGCGCTCGTTCTTTTGAAGCCCCTGCACATCAAGGTCATGCTTCTCATCAGCATGTGAATTCATCTGTATGATAGCTAGATAGTGGAGACACTGCAGTAGGGCACAATTGGATGGAAGCATCATTTCCGGTTAGTAACACAAGACAGGGTGGTCTGGTTAAAAGTAGTTCACTAAATGGAATAGGGTGCCATTTGTGACATATCCATTTGCTACATGCTAGCTTCCTTTGTACGATAGCCAAACTGACGATAAAGATACCTGTAGTAGTAAATGTATAATTATGACTGCTGTCTGCCAGAGATGTCTTAGCACAGGAGCCATAGTCATTGACATCTGATGGTTAAGTTTAGTGCATTAGAAGATTTGCTAACGGCTCATATCGGTGATGCTGCATGCATGACACTCAGCACCTTGTAGTGCTTGAGGTAAAGAGGAACACGTATGAGAATAGATGTGAGGTAGCTTTCTTTCTGGTCATATTGTGACTGAATCTGAAGTAAAAGCTGAAACAACCGACTGATATAGCCTAGCTGACTCAACCCGTGTCCTAGGGTTGTGTACATTGGGCGTAGACTAGGCTAAGAAAAGCATCCTAATTTAAATACTTTCACAGTTACAGACACTTCTTTTAAATTACATCTGAAAATGCATCTTTAGAAGAAGTGACAGGGCGGCGGTTTTGCAGTGTGTTGGGTCACCATACATGCATAGCCCATTATTGGTTAACTGTGTTGAACAAGGCTAGGTCTTTGGTCACTGTGTTTCCACTTAATTTTGCCTCTAAACCATCAGCATGAGTTCACTTCACGCTTTCTTTCATAGTTTTTGACGTGTCAAGAGACCTCACAAACTCACTGGTGTGGATCCCCCTTCGAACTGCTACGTATGCTAGCTAATCGCTAAGTACATTTTAAAGGAGTTTGTTATAGCGCATTAGCTTCCATTGCTAGCAGTAGAACACTGGACTAACTCTATTTCCTCTTTCCTCTTGTCACCACACATACATTTTAAGACCAGCCAGCTGAAAATAGTTCCTCATGGTGTGTCAGTGTACTCAAACAGGCAGGCGTAGTGCAGCGCAAGCTGATTTACTCTTAGTACAGTAGCTTCTCACTATCGTTACCACATTACCATTCCCAGGGGGCAGATCTGATATGGAGATAGGGTTGCATCTCTGGAGAAAGTAAAGGGAGCTTTCATGATTCGTTAGATTTGTTTGCGTTACTCTCCACGTTGTACCACCGTGTTGTACCACTCTGAGACATTTGACATTTGACATTTTAGTCATTTAGCAGACGCTCTTATCCAGAGCGACTTAGTTAGTGAGTGCATACATTTTCATACATTATTGGTTAACTGTGTGCCCGTGTGTGTGTATACAGCCTTGGTCGTCTCTGCTGAGGAACTGGAATAGCCTAGCGGTGACTCACCCTGGCTACATGGCCTTCCTCACCTACGATGAGGTCAAGGCCCGGCTGCAGAAGTTCATCCACAAGCCTGGCAGGTCAGTGAGAGAGTCTACATACAGACACAACAGGCACATGCAACACTGACATGCACACATCAACACACGCTCACACACACTGACACAGCGTATGCACACTGACGCACGCACACCTCAGCCAGATACACTTTCTCTGCTATTGTCAAAGCACAAACCCAGTGAGAGACGATGATATTTATTATAAACTGGGTGGTTTGAGCCCTGAATGCTGATTGGCTGACAGCAGTGGTATATCAGACCGTATGCCACGGGTATGACAAAATATTTAATTACGTTGGTAACCAGTTTATAATAGCAATAAGGCACCTCAGGGGTTTGTGGTATATGGCCAATATACCACGGCTAAGGGCTGTATCCAGGTACTCCGCTTTGCGTCGTGCATAGGAACAGCCCTTAGCCATGGTATATTGGCCATATACCACATCCCATCGTGCATTATTGCTTAATTATACACTTTCATTCAAGTTACCATCGCATTATAACCATGACTTTGCATATTCACGTTTTTTTTCTCCAACATGATGTGTGATTGTCACTGACTTGAGTCTTGCCCATGCTGTCACATACTCTCACACTCCAAAACAGCTACTTAGACTACTGTTAAACACACTACATTCTTACAGTCTCAGTCTGTCATGAGCTTACACACACTAACAAACTCGACCTTTACACACCGTGGCGAGCACCACCAGCTTGGCTGTCTAACGCACACTTACACAATGACACAGAAGGCGCCAGTCCGCCCTCACCCCCCGGTCTCACGTGCCCCCTGTGGCACATGGAACAGCATGGTACCTAGCATCAATAGGCCTATTGTAGAGACTGGGCTGATGTCAATACTGGCTCCAACAGAGGGCAAGTGTGTGACACAACACAGCAAGTATTTAGCCTTCATTCACCTCTTACTCCTAGATGACAAAATTGGTGACTCTTTATAATGATTTTAATGAATAAGCATTACTTAACTATTTATGGGTAGTGTATTCATACTAATAATACTTGAGGATTCTGTGATGTATAAACATGTACTGCATTGTAAGCTATGTGTGTGTGTTTGTGTGTACACACACTCACACTATAAGCAATACAATTTATAAGCATGTACAGTATATTGTTTACAAAAGCTTGTAATGCCTACAATTGCTTTATAAAAGGCTTGTTAATTAAAATGTATATCCTTTCGTATTAAACTCAGGACAGAGAAGCTCACCAGAGTTTGCTTAGGGTGGGGATGAGCTGGGATTTGTCATTTATTTAGGGTGTTTTCCCTGTGTTTATGTTCCACAGCTACATCTTCAGGCTGAGCTGCACGCGGCTGGGCCAGTGGGCCATCGGCTACGTCACTGCAGATGGGAACATCCTGCAGACCATCCCCCACAACAAGCCCCTCTTCCAGGCCCTCATCGACGGCTTCCGGGAAGGATTGTGAGTTCACCAGCCCCTCTCTCTCTCTCTCTCTCTCTCTCTCTCTCTCTCTCTGTGTCTGTCTCTATCTCGGTCTCTCTCTCTCTCTTTCTGTCTCTCTAACTGTGTCCGTCTGTCTGTCTTTGTCTGTTTCTCGCTCGTCTCTGTATCTATTTCTCGCTCTCACTCTCTCCAGTCTCAACCCAAGAGGTGATCTTTCTATAAACCATGTGGATAATTTGGCATCTCAAAGTCCCTGTGCCACTGAACTCAAACCAACACGTCTCATGTTGCATCGGCCACGACTCCATGTCCTCCTCTTCTGTTTTCATAAGCAGCAGGAGAGTTTGATTTGCAATGTGCAGTCAGAGGTTTGGGTGGATAGTAGATATAATGGTGTCTCCTGTGTGACTCTAGTCAGTAGAAGTGTACTTGATATGGGGAATAGGGTGTAATTTGAGACACAACTTATGTGTGTTGGTTTTCCCTTGTGAGTGACCAGAGTTCCGTCTACTACAGCAGTGGTTCCAAACTCTTGCCCTCGAGTACCCCCAACAGGTACACCTTTCTATTGTGGTCGCAGACAAGCACCCCTGATTCAACTAAAAAACTCCTTGACAAGTTGAATGAGGTGTGTTTGTCTGGGATTTCAACAAGAAAATATACTGTTGGGGTTCCTCGAAGACCGGTTGGGAACCACTGTCCTAGAGTATGCCAGTATTCAAACTTCTGTTTTGTTTTATAAATGGTGTGGTAAGTATCTTCAAACCTGTAATCAAATGCTGAATTAGTCTGTGAAAGGTTTTAGGCTACATGCGATTTGCTTTGCAAAGAGCCTGACACATGTGTTCTATAAAGCCACTATGCAAAGTATCACTAAGGCCTCAAGGTTACATGAAAAACATAGTCAAAAACATACAGTATGGCTGCGATTCAAATTACACCCTATTCCCCATAAAGTGCCGTGCTTTTGATCCTATTTGGCAGCCCTGTGTGGCTCTAGTCAGTAGTAGTGTACTTGATATGGGGAATAGGGTGACATTTGAGACACAACCTATGTGTGTTGGTTGACCCTTGTGAGTGACCAGAGTTCCATCTCCTCTGTCCAGCTACCTGTTCCCTGACGGGCGCAGCCAGAACCCAGACCTCACAGGACTGTGTGAACCCTCGCCACAAGACCATATCAAAGTCACACAGGTGGGTCTCTCTTATCTCCATCTGTCTCTCGTATTCATAACCTTACATACTGCACTTCCTGAATCTTGGGTCCTGCTCTGTAGAGAAAAAGTTTTGAAACTGAGTGAAACAGCGTACTATCTGAACTTGTCCAGTAGGAAATTCTAATTTGTTTTCTGTTTCAAAATGTTTTTCAATGGTGTGCACTACTGAACACGACCCTGGCTCCTTTTTGTTGCCTTATAAGAACCAAACTAAACTAAGGGTGCTTTAATGTGCTCTATTTGTATTTACTGTACGTGTTATCCTGCGCTCAGGGAGGTCTGCTGAAATCCCATGGCTGACTATGTATCTCTGTGTGTTTGTCCTCAGGAGCAATATGAGCTGTACTGTGAGATGGGCTCCACCTTCCAGCTGTGTAAGATCTGTGCGGAGAACGACAAGGACGTGAAGATCGAGCCCTGTGGTCACCTCATGTGTACCTCCTGTCTCACCGCCTGGCAGGTACTGTACGCCTAGTCTCTCTCACACTGCTGGGTAGGGGCGGGTGTTTGGGTCAGTGGGCGGCAGTGTGTATGTGGGTGTATGCATGTGCATCCTCATATAGTCATGAATTTCCGTAATCCCTCCTCCCTCTCTCTCTCCCTCTCTCTGTTCTTTTCTTCTCCTTCAGGAGTCGGAGGGTCAGGGCTGCCCGTTCTGCCGCTGTGAGATCAAGGGCACGGAGCCCATCGTGGTTGACCCCTTTGACCCCAAGGACCCCATAGGGGGCTCCTACGGGGGCTGCAGGGGCATGTTCGGGGCGGAGGGCGCCCCGTCGCCCAGCTACGACGATGACGAAGACGACCGGCTGGAAGACCCCCACCTCATGATGAGCAAGCTGGCCTGTTCCAAGGTGAGCGCCGTCTAGATGGGGCCTAAAGCTGATATGGAGCTCTCTTCCTGGGTGACGTTTCCCCTAGGTACAGGTCTAGGATCAGCTTCCCCTCCCCCAATCTTAACCTTAACATTAGTGGGGAAAATGCGAAACTGACCCAAGTGTCTAGGGACAACTTTACATTACTCTTCCTCTATCCCTGGGCTACGTTCAGCAAGGCACAACATTGTGGACCGTTCAGATAGAAACTTATTATTTGTGACTGAATTTTTCTCAAAGTTGGCCTACTGAATGTGGGCATAAAGCCTACTGAAATCCTTGTGGACTATAGTTGTGCACCCCTGCTGTAAACTGAACTGTTCTGAGGTACTCTTCCTCTCTTTCTCACACCTTCAGAGTCTAAGATCACATAGCTTTCATCTTTGACTTCTAAGGTCAGGGTTAGCTTTGCTTCTTCCAGGTGTTTGATGTGCAGGGCCCTTTTCTCCTGTTGTGAGCCAGCATCTTTCAGCTGTCCCTTTGTAACACGTCAGAACTCAGCCAGTGGAGTAAGCTTGAATAGACTAATACTTTGAGAGTGAGACTACACACAGCTTTGATGTGATGGGAAATGTTTTCTCTGGTATTGAAGAGTAAGTGTGCAGTGAAAAGTTTCTAGAACTCTCTCCCTGAGCTGTGGGGTGATGTTGTTGGTACGTTGCAGGTGGAGCGGCCCCCCTCGCCCATGTCCCTGGCGCCCCAGTCCTCCCTGCCCCCCGTGCCCCCCCGCCTTGACCTCCTGCATCACCGACCCACCAACCCCCCAGGAGCATCCAGCCCAGGGGCCAACATCCAAGGCAAGCTCTCTGCGCATTCACAGTCGAACAGCAATAGACAAATGGGAATGTCACAAGTTGAAATGTGTGTGAGAGAGGGTCCTATTTAGCTGCTGTTGGAGGACAATTTAGGTTGAATAGAAATCAAAATAAGTAGTAATAATGTATGATTTGATAGCACAAACCAAAAACCTTTGATCAAAAAACCAAAGTGTTTTTGGCATGATAGCTGTTAATTAATGTGCTTCCTTGATAAGTTGACATTCTCCTATGAAGTAGACTACTTCTTCCTTTTGAAAACAGATTAAATTGATTGTCCTCATGGTCTGTAATTGTGCTCTCCTTTCCCATAGGCATCCTCCCACCACAAGGACAAGCCTCTCCCCCTGCCCCCAGCCCTGAGGAACCTGCCGCCCCCTCCTCCCCCAGACAGACCTCTCTCTGCCGGGCCTGACGGGTGGCTCGGCAGACGGCCACTACCCTGCACCCCCCTGGGGGAGCTCAAGCTTCCCCCTGCCCCGCCCAACCGCAACCTGGCCGACTGGAACCCCAGGCCAGTGCCCAAGGCCCCCGGACAGCCACCCGGTGTGGGAGACACGCGGGGGGTCCGGGAGCTCTCCAACAGACACTCCCTCCCCCTGGCCCTACCCTCAGCCCTAGACGGATGCACGGACGGACAGAAGAACAACAGCTCGCTCAGTCTGGACCATCAGCTGGTGACGGGAGCCAAGGTCTAATACTAGCTTCTATTAGAGCAGTTGATTTAAATGTGGTTTCACAGACATGGATTGAATCTATACCAAGACTGTGTACAATTGTGTGTGAATGTGTAGGGATCACAAATTGGTATTTACAGAAGTAGGACTTTAGCTGTGTATGTCTGTCTTCTATGTTCCTCACCAGAGTTTTGCAGGCACGGCATCTGGCAGTCAGGAGTACGACAACCCCAAAGTGAAGCCTTCTGCCTCGGCCAATGCCATCTACGCTCTGGCAACAAGGTACAGTACAGTACACACACTCCTCTCATTGCTGTGTGAATGTGGTATTTCCTGTATAGGGCCGGGTTTTTTCCTGACCAAGTGACTTTACCCAGAAAACTCTACTAGGTATAGCCTATCCTCAGAACCCAGAGTTTTCCCTGATCAGGTCACAAAATCCCTTGGCCCTGGTTATATTAACTGTCCCCTTCTCTCTCCCTGCGTTGTCAGACCCCATCCAGGTCTGAAGCCTGTGGCTGGGGAGGAGGCCTATGAGAGTGACGAGGAGTCCGACTACATGATCCCCACCTCTCGGCCCGTCCTGGCCCCCATGGCAGCCCCCCTTGTGGTGGCAGAGACCCCAGTCCCCAAACCCCCCCAGGCCAGCTCTCTTAACTCATGGTAAGCACCCTCTGCTATAAGGCAGTATCCCCGCTCATTGAGAAACATTGAAAAGTGTCACTGTAAGTTAATTGATAACTTTGATGATATCGTAGGGATACTGTGTGCATCTTCAATTATGTATTTTCTTATTCTGACAATTGATTGCCCGTCAATAGTGAAAAACCCAACAAGTGTAAAAAAAAATATATATATATATATATAATAAAAGTAATATCTGCCCATTTGATGTCATGTCCTCTTAGTCTCCCTCCCCTTCCTGTGTTTGGTAGGCCCATGCTGAATGACCTGGATGAAGGACCTCAAATGTATAACGCCCAGGCCCTCACAGCCTCCCTGCCCCACCTGGCCAGAGACTCTGGTACTGCCCTACCACAACATTATGGCTGCGTGCCAAATGGCACCCTATTAGTGCACTACTTTTGACCAGTACTTTATGACCACTCTGTTCTAAACCCTATCTGCTTCTGCTTATTATAAACACGCATGCAGTATACCCCATCTTTGCTAGTTCAGCACTCCACCTCTATTCTCATTTTAGCCCACCGATCTAGCCCACTGTATTCTATTCTAGCCCACTGTATTCTATTATAGCCCACTGTATTCTATTATAGCCCACTGTATTCTATTATAGCCCACACTATTCTATTATAGCCCACACTATTCTATTCAATTCCATTCTATTCGAAGAGATTAAAATGCCATTGTTTCATTTCGCCCTTCTGACCACACTGTGAATCCCTCCGTTCCCCAGATTGCTCTGAGCTGCCCCCCCTGGCCAGTACCAATGGCCCCATCTGGGAGTCCCCCTGCCCGGTCCGGGAGCCCCCCGAGGAGGTAGAGGAGGAGAATGGCTACGACATCCCTAAACCAGTGTTTGCCGTGGCCCGACGCACCCTCTCCGAGCTGGGGGCCGCCGCCTTCAGCCGTCTCTCCATGGACAGCGAGCCCGGAGCGTCCACCTGTAAGGCCCCCAACAACTCTGAGCCGGTGATATAGTTCATTTGTAAGGTCAGAGGTTTCAATAGGGGGTAGTTAAAGAGCCGCATGTGGCTTCAGAGCCACGAGTTTCAGACCCCTATAGTTCATTTGTATTTTTTCCTGACCTGATCTGACCAGGGAACACTGGGCCCTAGGTAGTTTATTTGATAGAGACCATGTACAACAAACGGTGCATCAGATTTGAGCTAGATGAATAGCCAATTCTTATCTGCAGTTGTAAGATATAGGCTGTTAGTAGAGCCCAGAGTTTTTTCCGGCCTAGTCATGTGTTGAGGAAAAACTCCTCGCCCTGTGCGTCTCAAATGGTTGACTAACTCTGGGTATTTAACCAGGTTGTCCCTGGTGTTGTATTCCTATATTTATCAATTTTAACTCATAGAGCACCCTTATACCGTCTTCAAGACTTACGATTGCGAATCAAGATTTGGGCAGGAGTACTGAATTGTAATGTGGATGCTGCTTGTTGTTCTGTGGTTTGTGATGTGAATGCTGTTCTATTCTCCTCCCTGTTCTTCTAGCCTTCTCAGAGTCCAGCGACGCCCCAGAGCGGCCTCCCAAGCCCCTCCCCCGCCGCATCAACTCAGAGCGCCGGCCCAGCCCCATACCTCCTGGATTAGGCACTGGAGGAGGAAAAGGAGGTGGAGGAGTAGCCAACCCCCAGATTACCAGCGAGATCGAGCATCTCATGAGCCAGGGCTACACATACCAGGACATCCAGAAAGCCCTGATGATTGCACAGAACAATATGGAGATGGCCAAGAATATCCTGCGCGAGTTTGTCTCCATTCCCTCCACGGCGCACATTCTTACATAGTACCTCCTCTGCTCCAGCTCAGCCCAAAGCCCATCGCCTACGGTACTAGCGCTTCAGTGCTAACTGGAGCCCCTGCAGTCTCATCTCCAGCACCCTCTCAAAGCTAGCTCACTGCTAACTGTGTGTGACTCCGAGCCCTGCACTCCACGCGTGTCCGGACGCCTTTTGTAATGTGCTGCAGGGCCGCTCTTCATATCCCATGGGGTGAAGTGGTGATGAAGGCTCATCCCGCAACCGAAGCTTCGACGGTCTTTCTCAGTCGTTTTCGTGTCCTCTCGAGGCCTCTCTACCGAAATGTAATCGACACCTCGCAAAAAAAAAAAACATGTACGTGTGTCTATATAAGAATTTAATATATAACAAAATATATATTAAATGTGTATAATGTATACATATATATATTTCCAATGAGTTCCGCTTCGAAGGTCTTTTTTTTCTTCATGTTAAGGATAGATTGCAGAGGACAAAGATAGTGGTTCTTTGAGACTGCTCTGAGGGAGAGAGCACCCTTCTATAGTCCCCAGCCCTCTGAGTAGAGAGACGGATTTGGTTTAGCATTCAGAAGCAGGCGTTTCCTAGACTCACAGCAGAACATTTGGCAACATGTCAAAAATGGCCTTTAATGATATTGCTTCGATACCTTTTGGGGAAATTAATCTGTGTGTTGTTGTTTGCCTCACAGTAGCATGATGTTAGTGTTAAAGGTCTGGACTGTCGTCTCCAGTTATGTGGGGGGGGGGGTTGTTTTCAAGTGATCTACAGCTATGGGAAAGGTTAACCCACAGGGTATGTGTCTTTGTCTGGGAAGTGTGTTAGGTGTGTCTGGCCATTAACTTGGCTAGTAGGGTAGGGACGCGTGATGGCTGACCTAGCTCACGATTGACAATTTCACTTAACCCCAGTGAAAAGCAAAGCTGTGTTTGACTGTGTTATTAGCTATATGCATCATTTTCTACTGTGGGTAGTATTATTTCCTACATCTAACCACCCCTAATCACCTTGTCAGTGATTTTGATGACAAAACTGGGACTGGGAAGCCTGTGTTTAGTTTTTTCAGTAAGACGGTTTTTAGAGGCAGTCCTGGCTCCACTGTTAAGCCATGCAAATGTGTGATACGAACTTCGAATGACTTTGTCTGTGTTAGCACAGTGGGGGGGGGGGGTTCTCTCTCTCTCTCTCTCTCTCCCATTCTGTCAGATCTAATCAATCGAAGCCATCTGGGAGGTCCCGATTGGACAATGACCCAATCCCTCTACTATTCCTGTGCAAAATGAATGTGGAATGAATCGTTCTTCCTTAAATGTAGTGCTCTTTCTAAACACACTTCTCTCTACCAATCGTCTGAATGGGAGGGGCAAAGTGTACTGAAATCTAATGGTGAGAGAAAAAGGATTGACAGATTCTATTAAAGGCCCAGTCCCGGGCCAAGATTTGATGATGCATTGAAAACAGCTCAGACATGAGGAGAGCTTCGTCCGAGACGTATACCGAAGCTGTTCAGCATTGTGGGGAAAAAATGTGTTGTCCGTTACTTTAATAATATATTATTATTATAATGATCGTTATTGTTATTATTAATTCAGAAGTGCTTTACTGCTGCTACTATTGTTAGTGCTATACAATTAAGCCTTAAATGTACATTTGTGAATATTTTTGTTTAACCTCTCTTTTTTAAAGTGACAGTATCTAATTTGTAATCTTTATTTGGTGATGTAGCATACTTGAAATTGCAAGCAGCTTGGGTTGTGCAAATCAAGCTGACTTCAGTTGGTTTCCCATCTTTAGGATAGTGTTGGACTGGATAGCCTTTAGAGGAATTAAGATGACATCATAAATGGCACTGTCAGCATATTGACCTAAGTGGTAGCATCGGCAAAACGAACAATGTGATTGATGAAAAGGAACAGTGTCATAACTCAATCAGACGTCCACTTTAAAGGGGAGTACATCTAATCTAGATGAAATTGGGAGTTGTGCGAGCGTTGTCATTAAGGATCAGCTTAATTGCACAGCTGCAAAAAGCCCAGTAGCTTAGTGAACAAGGACATGTTGAGACGCACGCCCAAAATGTTGACGAGTTGCAGCCCATAAAGGAACGGGAAAGAAAGTTGCACATTCTATACAACTCTTATTTATTTTCGTAAACCTTTTCGGTCACACAGTGACAGGGTTATAAAGAGTGTATTACTTCATTTTTCCTATAGAGATATTACAACCATTGTTTGGGTCAACACAACAGCAGGGTTTGTGGACCAGTTGGGAAAGTGGACATTTTGTTCTATGTTTTCGATTGTTAAACACTTCCTGGTTGAAGGAGGACAAACACATCTTCATCTGTAACTAGGGTTGCAGAATTCCTGAAATGTTCCCAAAATTCCCAGGTTTCCCAGAAATCCCAGTTGGAGGATTCCTAAGTTTTAGGATTCCCTCCCTGCTTATTACCTCCTGATTCCAGGACAACCTGGGAATTGTGGGAATATTTCTTGAATTTTGCAATCCGATCTGTAACTCAGGAATACCATTTGTACAAGACAAGTGACTTTTCACATGGACTGTTCCGACTAGTCTTGACTCAATAATGAGTTGACAACACATTGTTAAACTAACCAATGCACTCATTGAATACAGTAGGTGCATCATGTTCCTGTGTGTCTAAATGATAGGTCTTCATTCACTTTTGAGTTTTCCGATTCAGTGGTTATAGGGCCTTCAGAGTTTCAACGCAGTCGACAAACTTCTATTTTTGGGGAGGCCATACCGATGAATATTCGAAATCCACACGTATTGAATTGACAAAAGTAGCCTATTAATAATTGTCATTATAAAGTGCACACCATCTTGTGCTGACTGCTATTACATTGTTGGTTAAAATGTAAAAATTGCACTGGCTCAAATCCCCAGACTTTTCTCTCCAGGACAGGTACTATTGAGGTACATTGGCTTCACCCCTAAAGGTAGAGAAGCTCATTTAATGGGATTGCCGCCAGGGCTGTAGAATCATCGTATAGGCTAGCTTCTCAACTGTATCTCACAGTCTCCAGACTGGAAGAGGTTTGTGGTGTCCTTAGTTTATTTTTCTTCTGTTATTAGTTGCCTTGAGCAAAACGTTGACGTAACTTTTGAATGCACCATGTTCAATAGGGATTGTGAGGTTTCAGAACAGAATCGCTTTTCCTTTCATCTTGATTACTGTACTGATTCTTGTCTATGTATGAACATGTATGTATGTATGTATGTATGTATGTATGTATGTACAGTGTCTTCAGAAAGTATTCATACCCCTTGACTTATTCCATATTTTGTTACAGCCTGAATTCAAAATTGATTACATTTTCTTTTTTCTCATCCATCTACACATAATACCCCATAATGACAAAGTGAAAACATGTTTAAAAATGTTTGCAAATGTATTGAAAATGAAATGCAGAAATATCTAATTTACATAAGTATTCACACCTCTGAGCCAACATATGTTATAATCACCTTTTGGCAGCGATTTACAACTGTGATTCTTTCTGGGTAAGTCTCTAAGAGCGTTGCACTCCTGGATTGTATAGTATTTGCACATTATTCTTAAAAAAATTATTCAAGCTCTATCAAATTGGTTGTTGATAATTGCTAGACATACATTTTCATTTTCATGGTTTTTCAAGCAGATTTAAGTCAAAACTGTAACTCAGGCACTCAGGAACATTCACTGTCTTCTTGGTAAGCAACTCCAGTGTAGATTTGGCCTTGTGTTTTAGGTTATTGTCCTGCTGAAAGGTGAGTTAATCTCCTAGTGTCTGGTGGAAAGCAGACTGAACCAGGTTTTCCTCTAGGATTTTGCCTGTGCTTAGTTCCATTCCTTTTAATTTTTTTATCATGACAAACTCCCCAGTCCTTAACGATTACAAGCATACCCATAACATGATCCAGCCACCACTATGCTTGAAAATATGGAGAGTGGTACTCCATAATGTGTTGTGTTGGATTTGCCCCAAATATAACCCTTTATTCAGGAGAGAAAGTGAATTGCTTTGCCACATATTTTGCAGTATTACTTTAGTGCCTTGTTGCAAACAGGATGCATGTTTTGAAATATTTTTATTCTGCACAGGCTTCCTTCTTTTCACTCTGTCAATTAGGTTAGTATTGTGGAGTAACTACAATGTTGTTGATCCATCCTCAGTTTTCTCCTATCACAGCCATTAAACTCTGGAACTGTTTTTTAAAGTCACCATTGGTCTCATGTTGAAATCCCTGAAAATGTTCCTTCCTCTCCAGCAACTGAGTTAGGAGGACGTCTGTGTCTTTGTAATGACTGGGAGTATTGATACACAATCCAAAGTGTAATTAATGACTTCACCATACTCAAATGGATATTCAATGTCTGCTTTTTGTTCTTTTTTTCTTCTTCTACTAATAGGTACCCTTTTTTTGCAAGGCATTGGAAAACCTCCCTGGTCTTTGTGGTTGAATCTGTCTTTGAAATTCACTGCTCAACTGCGGGACCTTACAGATAAGTGTATGTGTGGGGTACAGAGATGAGGTATTCATTCAAAAATCATGTTAAAGTATTATTGCACACAGAGTCCATGTAACTTATGTGACTTGTTAAGCACATACGTTGCATGGACTTTAGTCTTGCCATAGCAAAGGGGTTGAATAATTATTGACTCTAGACATTTTCAGCTTTCGGAAAAAAAATCCACTTTGACATTATGTGTAGGCCAGTGATACACAAAATCAAAATCTTATCCATTTTAACTTCAGGCTGTAACACAACAACAAAATGTGGAAAAAGTGAAGGGGTGTGAATACTTTCTGAAGGCACTGTAAGTGTATATTGACCTTTTTTCTGCATACTATACCAATTTGTGCTACGATACTGTCACTTTAAAAATGAAGTGTATAGTTACTGATAAATGTGGAAATTGGTGTTTTATTTCATTTTGCATTCCTGTGCATGTGATTTTATTTGTTATTTCTTTCCCCAAAGGTTTTTGGTTACTTTTCTG